AAAAAAACGAAGTCCAGATGACATGATTCAACCTTTTTTGTTGTTATATACCTGGATGACTGAGAAAACAAACTTTGTGTTTACCAGACAAGTGTTTTCAGCAGGTGCAGAGGATGATGATGGCGAGTGGGATGATGACTGGGATGACCAATCAATGTGCAGTTACCATGGAAATGGTCACATGGAAGAGGAGGCAGGGGCCTCTGGGCAAATAACTCATGGTCCCTCGGTCAAGATCTCCCTCAACAAGTAAATGTTTTTAAAAAACTACCTTTACTGAGCCAAACGTGGGTCTCTACTGCCATCCACCACCAAGGTGCAGTTAAGAAACCTGTAAAGTTTACTGGAGTCCAGTACACATCACACTATGTATCACAGTTTACATCCCAGTATACCCCAGTATACATTGCAGTATCATAGTATATCACAGTATACATCATAGCATATTGCAGTGTACATTGCAGAATAATTACAGTATACATCACAGTAAACATCAGTTAATATTTCAGTATACATCACATTATATCCTAATGTACATTGCCACATACATCAGTCTATATTACAGTCTACATTGTAGTATACATCACAGTATACCCCAGTATACATCAGAGTATACCTTAGTATACATTGCAGTATAATTGCATATGCATTGAAATATACTCTAGATGACATTGCTGTATACATCACAGTATACTTCAGTAGATCCCAGTATACATCAGAGTTAATCTGAGTTTACATAAGAGTAGATCCCAGTGTAATAAACCATAGTATACCCCTAGTTCGGACTATATCTGGGGTTAAAGGGGCCTAAGCTAGATTATACCTTAGCCAATTTATACTCTGGGGTAAAACTGGCCTAGGACTATACTGTATATACCCCTCAGGCCAGATTATACCCCTATGCTATCAGTAGTGTTGAGTCATACACACAATTACTTAATTTTTCAACATTTTATTGGGGTGGGGGGGCAGCTTTGTCAGGTAAGTTGAGTGCAAAAGCTAATTCACTTAAATCTTAACATTCCAAAGATTAGGTCTGAGGGGCATCAATTGGCCTAGGCGAATTGATGCCCCTCAGACCTGTAGATGAACAGATGCTCAGATATATTCATCAATTAACACGGATTCCTCATTTTTCTGGACTGAATAAAACGTGCATTGAATTTAATGAAATGCAAATGTGAGACGTCATTTATATTTGACCCATCAAAATGAATGCGGTCATTTATTTACAGAATCAAAGTTTAACATCGAACATTTACATTAATTTGGCAAATTATGAAAATAACAACATAAGCAATCAATCAGGAAAAATCATACGGCCATGATTTTTCCGTTGCTTCACCACAGACATTTATGAAAACTGTACAATTATGATCTTTTACCCACACGGCGGTGGATGAGCACTTTACACAGACATTTCTAAATATCTGGAAGAATTTCTACTTGAGAGAGGAGTTTAAAGATGGGAAAGAAGTTTAAAGAAGAGTAAAAGATGGGGTTTGAGGGAGTGTTGAACAGAACGGCACTCTCCGGGCTTTCTTCAGCTTCTTCCTTACAGTACACTTAGGTGGTGAAATAGACTCTTTTACCTGGAGATGTCTCAGGCGAGATTCCGTTTAACGCACCCTTCAGCGTCTCCGTAGGATGCTGTTACTCGTCCGGAGTAGCGGCGAGATTCTGTCCGCCACAGCTCACCTCAGTGAAGATGTTATAATCCCATGAAACTCAGAAGAGATCTGTTGTCATGTCAGGATCTTCCCGGCTCCCAGAACTGAACAGAGACCGAACTCCCACAGAACCGAACTCTCACAGCTCTCACAGAACTGACAGAACTGTGTATCCAACAGAACTCAGTAGACCAGGAAGTACCGACATTTTAAAGAGCTCTTTTCCCGGTTCATTCGGGAGTCTCCCCATTGGCCAGAACCGACCAGACGGGGTGTGTTTTGTGACGTAAAAGGTTAGAAGGCAGCAAGAATTGTTATGGAACAGATCAGAAATGTTCTCACAGACAGAGAGAGTTTTGTTTTGGCGAGTTTAAGAAACAGGTGCCAAAACCCCCCTGTTGACGTCTGAGAGGATATAGTCAAGTCAAGTCAAGTCATCTTTATTTGTAGAGCACAATTTAAAACAGATAAACTGTTATCAAAGTGCTTAACAGAAATGTAGCAAAACATAGGCAGCAAAACAAAAACATCATACAGAATTAAAATTACTGGAGCAATAACACACACTAATGATCACACTAAGGAAAAACAAGCAGTAAAAATAAACGTCAATCATAAAACAACAGAGTTTAAAATGAGGTACACAGAACAAAATAAACTAACTCACACCGTATTAAACGCCAGAGCAAACAGGTGCGTTTTAAGGAGGGATTTGAACATCAGGAGGGAGGAGGCCTGCCTGATGTTGAGGGGCAGGTTGTTCCACAGGTTGGGACCTCTGACTGAAAAAGCTCGATCCCCTCGGAGCTTCAGGCGTGATTTCGGAACGACCAAAAGAAGCTGGTCCGATGATCTCAGGGCACGAGACGGAACATATGGTTCCAGGAGCTCGGAGAGGTAGAGGGGTGCGAGGCCATTTAGGCACTTATATGTCAGGAGGAGAATCTTGAAGTCGATTCTGGATCGCACAGGAAGCCAGTGAAGGGAGGACAGAACAGGTGTGATGTGCTCAGACCTACGTGTACCAGTTAAAAGCCGAGCAGCTGCATTTTGGACGAGCTGGAGACGTGAAATGGACGCCTGACTGACCCCAGCATAAAGTGAGTTACAATAGTCCAGGCGGGTTGTGATGAAGGCATGGACTAATGTTTCAAGGTTGGGTCTGGATAACACTGGCTTGAGCTTAGCTACCTGCCGCAGTTGGAAAAAACTTTTCTGCAGAACTGAACTGATCTGTTTGTCAAACTTAAAATCCGAGTCAAAAACCACCCCGAGATTTCTAACAGTGTGCTTGAGATAGGGCTGAAGTGAGTCCAGGTTTGCAGGATCTGAGGAGGCAGCTGAGCTAGGACTAAAGACGATTAATATAAACAGGACAGTTGTTCCAACGCATGTCTGCTTCGACTCCTGACCCTGGAACGCACACTTTGCTCATTCACAGACAGAAATCAGCAAATGCATAATTACTCTGTAACAGCTTTGACATGAGTTCTAACTTTGCATGAGAATTAAAAATCATTACACAGTTAATAAAATTGATTAGTTCATTGCAACATCTAAAATGGTTTGAACTAAGGCACTTTGATTATCAACATTTGTAAAATAGTAATGATAATAGAACAGAGAGTGTTCTTCCACTTGAATTTTCAAGAAAGAAAGTCTCAGGATGGGTGAACCTGTATTTCTGGATTCAAATCAATGAAATGACAGTTCCTGTCCCACAAGGTTCTTAAGGTCAAGAGTTTTGACCTTAGGCTTAGTCTTGACCTCAGATTAAGTTCACTACAGACCTAATGTTTAGCGTTTAGGTCAGTGTTCAGACCAGAATATGGGTATGTAAATGAGTACATTCTGGCCTGGAGGGATAGTCTAATATATATAGGGGGCCGAGATGGTGTAGAGGTAGGGCAGCCAACTTGGGACCAGAAAGTCGCAGGTTCATCTCCCCACCATGCCTCATGTCGTGGTGTCCTTGAGCAAGACGCCTAATCCCTAACTGCTCCATGAGCACTTACATAGCTGCCCACCACTCCACCTGGGTGTATCTCAGGTGTGATGCAGAGAACTAATTTAATCATTGTATGGAAACATACAGTGATGACCAGTGTTCCCCTAGATCAGGGGTCTGCAACTTTTATGATCAAAAGAGCCATTTTTCACCTTCGTTCACTACATTAAACGTGTCCGGAGCCGCAGCAACCTTCTATAACAGTGGTTATCAACTGGTAGCCTGTGAGCCACTTTAGGGTTGCTGGAGGGGGCTTTTGTGGTCAGTAGGGGCGACATTATAAAGCCAAAAAAAAAAGTTATTTACTTTTAACATTTATTCAAGTAAAAGGCCAGATTATTGTAAAGAAGGGGGGGAAATATTTTTTTTTTACAATTTTTTTAATTAAAAAAAATCTATAAACTATTCAGATAGTTGTTAAAAAAATGAAACATCAAGTTTAAGTATGTTTTTGTCCTTGTACTTGCTCCATTGGTCACATATTTGCAAAAGAAATGACAGAAAAACGGTTTGAACTAATCCTTTTTTGTTGTTTGTATTTATTCAATTCAAACTTTATTTAGACAGATAAATCACATTGAGCCTCGAAGACTCATTTACAAGTGAGATCTGTTTGGACAGACAAAAAAAGTAGTTAAAGTGGACACGTAGGCTATGGAGGCAAAAAAAATCCTATTGAACTATTTCTTCTTGGCTGAGAAAAAAGACCCTGATAATGAAAAAACACCCTGCACATACAAGCACATGGTGACGTAGACATTCCGCGGGGGGTAGATGACAAGGGCGGTGAGGATGTTCAAGGACTGTAGGAATTCTGATGAGGATGGAATAATCAGCCAGTTCCCTCACATTCTCGAGGGATGTCAGGGAATGGCCAAGGACAACATCAATGAGAATCCAAGAGTCCTGAAATGATGACACAATGTTTATTCAGCTGGTTTCCTCAGGTTGATCAGTGGAAGTCCTCGATGGGATGGAGGGGGACAGAGCGTCAGATTACATGGCCTCCAGGTGAATTAAGATAAGGTGGCCTGCAAGGCCAGCCAAGAGAGCCAAATTCAGATAAACGTTTGTTTTCAAGTCAAACAGAACTTTAATTTTTATCTGCCTTGAGTCTTTGCTAGGAAGCTTCCTGGAAGATGGCGCCGCTGTGCATGGCCTGCCCTCCACCTCTGTCTGCAGTGATTGTGTTTTTTCCATTTTTGTCATTTTTCACGTACAACATCGACTCACTGCTGCTTTATGAACGTCATCATCTCCTAAATTTCCGACTATCTGCCACCAGTCTCGCTTTGTTTGATCATAATGATCGTAACTTTGGACGCCCACTTGGACCCCCACCTCTGCTTGAAGATGTTCCTATTTACCTCTGTCGTGGTATCCTGCCTGCTCGAAGACATCGCTCCAGGCACCGTGGAAAATGGGCCGACCGTCTTGTGAGGATCAAAGCCTGCCGGGCTGCTGCTGCTGCTTCCTCTTCAACAGAGGACCACATCTTAAATCACCTGTCCTGGCGCTGCGCCGATCCACCTGAGTCCTTCCCAGTCCCACGGGTTGGGTCGGGGTCCCAC